TGTGGCTGAACTGAGGTCTATAAACCTAGCAGTCCCAAGGTGGAAAAAAACTTCGGGAACTATATAATAATTAGGTGCTTTTTAGGTGCTAATTAAAGCCTCTAATTAAAGATTAGGGGCTCCTCTAGTTTTTAAGAAAATCAAAAAAAAACTAAGGGATTGCTAGGTTTATGAAAGCTAGCAGTCCCCTATAGTAAAAAATATTTTTTTCAAATTTCTTCTTTGTATCAGAATTAGGTGCTTTTTAGGTGCTCCTAAATTGTCAAAGAAAAAATAGAATTGATTAATTATTAACTGAGTTACAGATTTTTTTTTTTAATTATTAGGGGACTGCTGGCTTTACGTCTACTTGTTGGTGTGTTAGAATGGCAAAAAAACTTCGGGATCTATATAATAATTAGGTGCTTTTTCGGTGCTAATTTAAAAATCTGTAACTCAGTTAATAATCAATCAATTCTATTTTTTCTTCGACTATTTAGGAGCACCTAAAAAGCACCTAATTCTGATACAAAAGAAATTTTAGGAAAAATATTTTTCACTATAGGGGACTACTAGCTTTCATAAACCTAGCAATCCCTTAGTTTTTTTTTTTTGATTTTCTGAAAAACTAGAGGAGCACCTAATTTTTAATTAGAGGCCCTAATTAGCACCTAAAAAGCACCTAATTATTATATAGATCCCGAAGTTTTTTTGGGACGTAAAGCCAGCAGTCCTCTAATATTTAAAAAAAAATCTGTAACTCAGTTATTAATTAATCAATTCTATTTTTTCTTCGACTATTTAGGAGCACCTAAAAAGCACCTAATTCTGATACAAAGAAGTAATTTGAAAAAAATATTTTTTACTATAGGGGACTGCTAGCTTTTATAAACCTAACAGTCCCTTAGTTTTTTTTTTGATTTTCTCAAAAACTAAATGAGCACCTAATTTTTAATTAGAGGCCCTAATTAGCACCTAAAAAGCACCTAATTATTATATAGTTCCCGAAGTTTTTTTCCACCTTGGGACTGCTAGGTTTATAGACCTGCTGAACTGGCAAAACACTACAAGGTGGTTCTTGAATGGGTGCCAGGACAAGACACGCAGGGACTGAAGGAAATGAAAAAGCTGATATTCTCGCAAGAAAAGAATCAGAGAAAACCCTAATTGGCCCCCGCCCACATGTGGTATATCATATCAACATCTAAGAGGCAAACTGGAAGAACAAACAATTAAGAAAGCAACAAAAAAAAATCTGGATGGAACTCAGGCAGTTCAAACTCTTATGGAAGGACCATCTAAGAGCAGAACAGAAGAACTGCTTAGCTCAAGCAGGAGACAATTGAGTGATGTGGTTGGATTATTGACAGGACACTGCCCTCTCAGAAAACACCTAAACACAATGAAGCTAACAGAAGACTCGCTGTGCGAAAGATGTGCAGAGGAAGATGAAACTCGTGTCCCCTGCCCCTAGTGTCAGAAACTCTCGATAAACTGAAAGAAGCAACATATCTATCCAACTTAGACATCAAAAGTGCCTACTGGCAGGTTCCAATGGAGGAAAAGTCCAAACCACTAACCGCGTTCATTTGCCATAAAGGATTGTTTCAGTTTCGGCGGATGCCTTTTGGGTTGCATAATGCCCTAGCTACGTGTACTATGCCAATGTCCTAACCTTAGATGTCAAATACAGCGGCACTTTGGGACACAGCATCCAAATCCAATGGAAATCGCGAAAGCGAATATTAGGGACATCCTAGGTTTTACTAAAGGAGTGGACCTGATATGAAAACTTCAGGGTGGCACAATGAGCTCCAGTGCAGGTGTCCGCACACCCCAGGGTCCTTATTCTTGAAACAGGGGAGCAGTATTCCCAGGAGAACGCGTGTTCTGTCTTTCTCAATGATATGCAAATGACAAATGACAAAGACAGAACACTCGTTCTCCTAGGAACGCTGCTCCCCTGTTTCAAGAATAAGGACCCAGGAGAGAATAGAATAGAATAGAATAGAATAGAAATCACATTTGTAAGTTCTTTTTTTTTAACTCATAGTTTCTGTATTATCACAATACAATGTATAAATTAAATAAATAATTTGTATGGTAATAGCAGTGAAAAAATTAACCAAACATGAACAAGTAAAATTAAAAATGGAAAGAAAATTTATAGTTGATAACACAAATAATAGCATTTATTCTATTGATCCCAATAATATGAGATCGAAAACTGAAAACTACCAAACCAAAAACCACCAGATAATATTAGAGAAGGGTTTAACATTTATTCCGTAATTGATCAATTATCATCCTAGTACATATTTACAGTACAAAATGTTTTACATTGAACGCCCGATTGGCCCATTTAATTACCAATAATTTCGAAATATAGCTGATTATCTAAAATGCCGTTCGCAATATTTACATGATGCATATGCAGGCTGATTTGATTTGATGGTCGAATCAATTTCACCCTTACAAAAATTTACGTTATTAACAATAATAATTGTGTGTTTTTTTTTTTTTAAATATCTAATAATTGAAACAGGAATTAAAATAATACGATATTTATTGATCGAAATATGAGCAACTATGTGTATTTAAAAATTATAAAATGAGCTAAAATTAGATATATGTAATAATTGGAAGGAAAGACATACTTTAGTGCATACATACAAGTTGGTTTTCGGAAGAAAATGTTCCATTGTAAGATTTAGTTTAATTTTTTTATTTTTACAAGTTTACTCTTCTTAAACTTCTCTAGGCCGAAATTCCCTCTCTCCAAACTTCCAATTTCCAATACACTAAGTAAATAAATTTAGGAAATGACTCAATAAATACACTTTCAAAAATTTAAACATATATTTTTTTACCGACACCCGTTTTAAGCTTGTTTTTTTTTTTGACGCAAAAAGAAAACTTTGATAATTGAATTTCATCCATCAACTTCTTTTACTTTGCTTTGATAACGTTTTATTGGGTTTGAGAAAAGAAAATGAAAACTCCTGATGACGAGAATTAATTTTTTGCCACAAAATTTCAAGCCGGTTTTGGCAACTAGACAAAATGTTCCAAAAGGGATTAAATGGTGTGATATCGTTTATTTAATCGGGGCCAGTAAATTTACAGCTTATGCGGTTAGTGGAATTATTTTTGAGGTCAAATTTTGGTGGATTGAATTAAAAATCAAATTTGTGAACTAATGTGTACAAACAGATTACGCATATTGTTTATTGATAATTAGATACATATAGGATATCTCACCACAATCTTATAGGTAGCTATTTCGTAAAAAGACCCACCAAAGCAAAAGATTGGCTCTGAGTAGGTACTTATATTTCAAGATAGAGCATTTGTGAGAGACATGAAAGTTGCTACTAAACTTACAGCATTGTAACGAAGAGAAATCTGGAGAAGTGTATGAATGATTACAGGCAGAAATGGAAGAAGTCTACATTCAGAAACCCATGAAACAAGCTGATTAGAACAAGAAAAAAACCCACAAGTCTTCCAAAACAGCCCCTGAAAAATGACCTAAGTTTTTGATAAATTATGGCTCGCTTTACTGAGTCTTATTTGAATAAAGAAGCTCATATCGATCAATAATAACAAATTTTCAATTAATTCAATTATATTTAACAAAATTCTATTTACCTATTGAATTTATTATCCTAGTTTTGAATTAATATGAATTCTCATATAAAAGTACAGAAATGTCAATTCCAGAAATAATTAATTCAACAAATTTGATTACTTTTCAACCCTAATAAATAATTACATTGTTTCTTCTAATAATTAAGGATCTATATAGAAAATGTTATATTCTTGGTGTCAAACACCAATAATAATTCACGTACCTGAAAAGTTTTTACAAGACTGAGGTATTATTTACAATACAAGTGACACTCATCAACTCAAAATGTGCCTGTTCCATCAATTTTTACTGTCAGCGACTGATTAACTATCGCAAAACCCGGTAATACTATGGATAGCGCTATAGAAATAAGGACTTTTTGCACATCTTAAAATAACTCCAATGTCATCATCATAGTCCCCTACTAATGCCTACTCTGTCCTCTTTTGGACAATGCGGTTAGTTATCTATTCATCTCTGTCCAGCAAGCTGGAGGTCTTCCTGTTGGCATGGGGTATCCACTCTTATTATTATAATTTTGCATATTCCGGATTTAATTTTTATATTAATAATCTTTTTCTATGAGTATTGAATAATATGTATAATATTCATCCATTTTCTATTGATCAATGTGAACGATTAGATTACTCATACTGTGAGTTTTTTTTCATTACTCCATTGTTTTCAACCAATTAAAGTATCCTGGGCTCATTACCTACTCCACTATTTAAGAGCTAATCAGAAAATTCGACAAGTTGACAACGTGCTCCAACCTTCCAATCGGTCATTTTGACAGCTGATTTGGTCAAGACTTTTGCTAACCTAACCTCGCTTTGTCCTCCAGCTGTCAGAATTGTCAATTACTTTTGTTACCGAAATTAAATAATAAACCGCATAACTCGTGCCTATCATCTATTTATCATAGAAAAAGTATAGTATCCTACTCTTGGGTAATGGCTATTACTCAGATGATTACACTACTCGCCTGCGGCTCGTAGTGCAAACTTCATCCTTCGTGAGTAATAGCTTTCGTTACCCGCTCATTGAATAATATACTATAATTACCTACTCACCAAAATTTAATTGATAAAAATGACATTGACTATTCAATGCTGTACAATCTGATGGAATAATGATAATTATTCAATTATTCCTCCATAAATATGGAAGTTCATTATAGCATGGATCTATCTCTTCAGCCGCACAACAGAATAATAAGAAATGCAAAAAGGCCTATCAGTAGTCAAAAAGAACTGTTCTGTCTTATATCGAGGATGCAAAATATATTTTAACATCCATTCTTTACGCAACCCGCAATCAGTCACCGGCAGATAACTTCAGGTCTGTTTCTGCAGAAATCACAAACCAGTCAGTCAGCCGGTGATTGGTTGAAACTAGTTTTCTCACTGTATTCAACCAATGAAATTCCCTCTGACTGGTTGGTGATTTTTGCAGAAACAGACCTATGTCTATAATAAAATAATTTTTCCCTTGACACAAGTTCTAAATCCTCAATCCACAATCACTAAAATAACATCACCAATCTCATCCGGTTATAACCGGACACTTACTAAATCGCATTGTTCTAACGAAACCGCGTCGACGTCATCGTCTTCCGGCGTCACGTCCGGCCGCGTCGGACTGTCAAAGTGACAGGACCTGTCGAATTTGATGTGACGTCCCGTCTTGCTACTCTGACAGTCCGACTGGTCCGAATGCTATACGGAAATCTCCTGGATTTGAACCCGTTTTTTGATGGTACCCGTATTGGGCGGTGGTTGTTGGAGCGGGTTACTCGAAGTACGGACGGGCGGAGGAGGTTTGTCTTTTTTGAGAGTGCTGGTCGCAGAGGCAAGACCTGCTGCGTGGTAGTTTTGGTTTCTAGAGACCTAGAAAAAGACTCAATAGAGAATTATTGCACAAATAAATTGTTGTTGTTTGGTACCGTATTATAGCAAGTAGGAATTTCTGTTAGTTCGTGATCCCTGCGGCCAATCAACGGCGATTGTCTGGCACTGCTTCCAGGTGTACTAGGCCTTTGCGACATCGGAATGGTTTCTTCCGTAGATGGCGTCGAGTTGCTTCTCGAGTTTCTGGAATTACCGTTTCTGTTTTGTCTCCGCCTGTCGCGTTCTCTCTGGTAATAAATTCCAGCGAATATTAACATGTTTAGAACTAGAAGCAGACATCCGACGCCTACGGTCACTCCTAATGCAGCGGTGTAGCTGTAGTAATGTCTTGTGGCTAGACGTTCTAGGAGTTCTTCACTTGCTTCTTCTTCATCTGGAAAAATGTAAATGTTGAAGGTTTTGTTATATATTTTTTTTTCACTACCTTTATAAGAAGTACAGTGTACGTCCATTTTTCTCACAATAATTTTATTTGTCGGATTCACATTACATGGAGTTTTGTATGAACGATGAATCCGAAAAATTAATAGGATATATCGAGTCATTGTCCAAGAAGACATGAATCAGAGATGTCCAGGTTATTTGAATTCTTCATATAGGAAGATAATCAGGTGCAAAGTTTAGGTTCAGGTAGAACCATTCTTTACGTTGGGTTTTCCAAAAGACAAGAAGTCAATATCGTCGTGATAATTCTATTATTTTAAGAACAACATGTTAAGGGTTATCATTTCTCAATGAACATTGATGAAGAAGCTTTGGAAAAACTATCAAATACAAGAGGTAGCAACGGAAAATTCTCGAATTGACTCACGATACAGGCAGCTATTCCAGAACATCTACAGAGAAGTGTCTCATTGACAGTTCAGCTCACATAGTCTTAAAGACGTCTTTTTTAGACCTGTATTGCATCTGAATGTCTGAAGACCAAAAAAAGGCGTCCATAAGATATAAATTCATATCTTGAAGACAACTGATCTATTTGGTACAACCGGGCCTAAAAGTGAATAATGGCATCTGCATTAAAAAGAGATTCAAAAACGTCTTTAAAACATCTCGTTGAAGACGTCTTTAGAATGTTTTGGAAAAATGCCATAAAAACGTTTCTAGGCAGACGTTTGAAAGACGTTGGACTTTGTAACATAAGACGTTTTCAAGATGTCTTTAAGATGCATTGAACACGTAAGCAGACGTCTCGAATGTCATTTGTGGATATCTCAGGGACGTTTTTAAGATGTCTACAAAAACTTCCCCCAGAATTTGTTTCTCTTTCAATTTAGAAGTTTGAAACCCATTCCAGGACGCTCCTGAGTGTTCTAAAATATGTAATGACCCGAGAAAAATGGACCCGTAATTTACATTATCTTAACTGTAAAAATTAAATGTAATCAAATAATCAAAAACTGAATTTCCTGTATTTCAAATCAGTATCTATAAATTGAAAGATGATGAACCAAATTAGCATTGACCCAAATTAATTAAAATATTTATATCGGTACGTTCAAATTTTAAACAAGCCATCAGTGACCAAGCACGTGTCATCATTTGAACTCGTAAATAAAAACCCGGAAAAGATCAATTACAAGGTTAAGCACCTAATTAAATTGGACCCAAAATGACAAAAATTTCAAACAGATTGCATCATCCTCTAAATGAAGAAGTTATATTTTTGGAGTAATATCTAGGTCGACCAATAGAATTGAATTATAGATGGTCAAACGACCGCCTATATTGTCGATTTTGGAAGGTAATTAATAATATTTTGGGGGGAATCGAAAAATATGAATACAGGGATTTTAGAAGATCAGAGGAAGTTGTTAGTCTTCAGCCTGCAGTCCAGTTTTGAGTTAAAAGTCTACAGTACCTAATGAGTCAGTCCGGATAAAATTCGCGAAAAGTGTCTTTTATTTTTGCCTCGGGAAAAACGCGTTTGATTGAATCTCTGAAAAAGTAACGAAAAATTGTGAATTGAATTCGTTCAACATTATGTGCGAGCTCTAGAGATTTTTAAAGTAAATTAATTGAGTAATTTTACTGTGAAAAGTTAAATGTAAGTACTCTAGTGAGTAGTAAAACTTTTTGACTTTATAAATGATGAATTACTATGAAGTGAATTAACTTTGGAACTTTATTGCATAAATATTAATAACTCGAGTGTTTTGACTATGGAACATTATTGCATAAATTTAATTGCCTTCGAGTAGAATGACATTTTAATTAATTTTGCAAAGAATTTAAAGAGGAAAATTATAATGCTCTTAATCATCGATTTTGAGTATGAATTATTAAAGATTTTTGAATTGGATTGTCCAATTGAAGTTCAAGGGCTATAATAACTAACTAATAAGAATTTAAATAATTGTGTATGTTGACTAGGAATTCGAAAATAGTATAGTTCTGTTTATAATGATCCTTAGTGAAAGATGGAACCACTAAATGTATATTGTAAGGTTTTTATAAAAATATAGTTGATAAAACATATGTACTTAATCCAGTGAGTAGGATTATGACTCAAATAACTATTTTGCATGAGCTGTCAGTAACTGACTTAGGAGTTTAAGAATTTATAGATATAGGTGAAGGGTAGTTTTAATAGGAATGTGAATCGGAAGTGTTGTTTGAAAGATTAAATGTATAAACTTATAAGTTAGTAAGAATAGAAGAAGTAGGGCGTTTTTAGTAGGGATATTTTCTGGTCCGTAGTAATGAAATTTGAACGGATGTGAAATAAATTGATTTGGGAAAAGTAGAAGTGGCTGTCAGACATAGAAAGATATTTGTTTTATTTTAATTTTGGTTTTAAGTATAATAAAATATAATCTAGTAAACCTCAATAGTTTGTTTCTCTCTTTTGCGAATAAACCCTCTCCACAATGTTATAGGTAGCCGCTCAAGGAAATAAACACCATCAATATACCGCTCGCCATTTACCATCTAACTAATCAAATAGAGTACTTGGGCGCGTTTTGCTACAAATATCCAGAAATATTTTGATGTATAGTGAATACTTCGATGAGAGCTAGAGCCAGATTGAAACAAGCAACATCAAATAAGTCGCATCAAAATAAGTCTAAGACCAAAGATGAAACCGATAAAATGGAGACCATTCTGGAATGAAAACCTCAAATGAACCTCATTAATCGAGTTGGCTAGAGAAAATTTGGAAACATGAATGATGAGTGGCCAACGAAGAAAAAGAAGAGAAAGTTGGAAAGTCTTTTTAGTCCAGGAGATATTATTACGGTATGATTTTCTAGGCGCAATGATATATCTACCGAGGCCATCAAGCTTAGGTTTACATTGCCTTTTGGTATCTTCAGCATTTGTTGTCCTACCAGTATTTTTATTTCATATCTGATCTAATTGATTCCAAACTATTCAAATTTTAGTTTTGACATAATTCAGTAGTTTACATGAAACCTAAATAGGAGAGCTTGTAGCCAGAAAAATTTGAGAAATTGTGTCAAATTTCAACGGGCACTCAGTCTACATGGATAAAATTTTCAAGGAGTATAATCCTCAAAGACAATGAACGTTTTACTTTCGAGCGCCATTTTAGTGCCTAAAACTTAAATCCCTAAAACTAAAATAACCATATTTCCACAACCAGAGAATGGGGATTTTCAGTCCGAGAACCGGAGAGTTATGACCCGTACTCGATCCTCCGGAATGTTGTGAATATGCCGGGTGCATGTTCATGTCGTAGACGGAAACGGGGCTTTGCTAAGATGGAGCACTTTTAATATGAAAGGGACTGCCTCAAGACAACGATTTTTAGGGTGGTTAGTGCTTTTGCGACCCGATAAAATGATCTCAAACAAAAATTTATCATTTTTTGAAATTAAATTTGATAAATTATTAGACTTTGTTTATTTTTTAATGATGGGCATAGTACTTACCAGTGTCGACATCTTCAGCAATCACCAATCTATCCTCAGGGGTTGTTTGTGGCACACATTCAGTATTGACTGATCCTACACCGATTATCTGAGAATCGGTCATCGAAGCTGGATGCATAATGGGTGGCAGCCGAGTAAACGATTCTGCTCTAACTGCACCTGAAAAAAAAATTAACTATTTATAAAAGCAATTAATGTGGTTCTAATTCGAATGTTCTTGTCTGAAATTGTGTCGATAACTGCTGAGGTTGAAATACGACCGATAAAGTGTCGTGAAAATTATTCCAACACCAGCTGAGTGCCGAGTAGAAAAGAGCATCGTACATCATCGAACACCGAACGATCCAAGTGCACTTAGGCTAATTGCCCGACTTTAGGAGCTGGGAACGAATTCCTGCGGGGCGCTAAACTGCAGTTGAAACTTTCATTTCCGATCTCGAATAAATCGAGAAAATGGCGGATAATTAACAAGATTGCAGAGTTTAATTTTGGGCGAAAATTCTCGGTTAATATTTACATCGAATCCATCATCCAATAAAAAAACCCAAAGTTAGTATATTTCAACCCATATTTTCAGTCTTCTCATAACATATTAATGGCCACTGAAAGAGGCATGTCGGCTCGTGACAGGGCCAAGTGCTCGATCTCACTCCACGTACTCCTGAGTGAGATTGATTGGTCAATTGTCGTGGCCCCATCGGTGCAGCTGGGGTTCAACAGAGGAGACCACTTCGGTTTTTTTTTGTTCTCCTTGAAATTTACTCCATTGACACAAAAGAACTACCTACGCTTTTTCACAACTATAGGAAAACAAGAATAAAATTGTTTACAAAGAAGTTACTTAATTCACAATCGTAACTTTTGCAATAAATCCGATTCTCAGACAGGTTGAAGAGTAATTAGGCAAGTTGCGAAGTTAAGGAAGTAAACATTCCCGTATTTGCCTTAAACCGTTCAAATTAAAATGTACCGGTTAATTATACGCCTGTTTCGTGATATATCGGTGGATTATCGGAAACGGATTGAGAGTCGCTAGAGCGGCGATAAATTTAGCTGAGTATATTAGTTTTCGGGAAACGAACAAACTAAAAGTATTAAAATGATTTAAATTTAATGCGGATTGTTAACTATAAATTATAGTTACAGAACAGTTTCAGCCATTCTATTAAGCCTGCAATAAAGCCAGGTCAAATAGTTTCCATCTTAGACTAAGACTGTGAATACTATACTTTGTCTTTTATTAGACTTATTTATAGGTGGCTGCTTATTACCACCCTGCGTGAACTGATTATTTATTTTCAAAGCATAAGTGTCTTTTTGAAACTGTTAACATTTGATTATTTGAATTAGAATAGTAGAATTAGGTGTTTCACTTCACAAGACACTTACTTTTTGACAGAATTCAGGGATTTATTATTCCAAATCTTGGTGAACCTGATACTCCCCTATTCTTTTCTGGGTACCTACTCGATATAAAGATCACTATTTGGAGTCTGGATCAGCTGGAGTGACGTCACCCCAGCAATCTATCCTCTTTCCTGGATACAGGAAACAGCACGAAGAGCTCTAGTTCACGAAAGTGAAACCCCAACACCCATTGAAGAGCTCCGGATTGGAAAGGTACATTGTATCAGATTCACCGGAACAACTAAGCTGTCAACTGTCATGTTTTAAAGAAAGTAGCATTGTCACTATATTGTTAAACACAGAACTTGTCAAATATCAAATAAAATTATTGTCTGTTAGATTTTGAGTGGTTTTATTGGCACATAAAGGGGCTACACGTTATCTTAATTTTTTGAATTCCATTCCTAGGTTCTCTTATCTTAAAGTTCAAATAACTAATTTATTTGTAACAATAACGTACAAGCTTTTGCTGTACCAAGTCCACGGTCACGGTTGGTCAACTATTCTTACAGAAGAGTTGGGAAAGAGTGACGTGCTTCAAATATCCATACGTCTCACTGACAATAAGCCAGTGGTTTTCAGATCACACCGCCTATTGCATTCAGAACGGGAAGAAGTCAACAAAATCGTTGATGATTTGCTGGAAAACAGGTTAATTCGAGAGTCGCGATCGCCGTATTCTAGTTCTATACTGTTGGTGAAAAAAAAAAATAGCGAACAGCGCATGTGCGTGGACTACGCGCTTAACTCAAAAACCGTGAAAGACAGGTTTCCATTACCACATACGCATGACGCAAAAAACTTAAGAGTTGCCAGTTTTTTCACCATTTTGGACTTAGCGTCAGGTTATCATCAGATAGCTATTGAAGATGAATCAATACCCAAGACAGATTTCATAACACCTGACCTGACGGTCATTATGAGTATACTTGGGTCCCCTTTGGCCCATGCAATGCTCCGGCATTATTCTAACGTACCGTCAACAAAGTTTGGGTTAGCGGATAAGCGACCAATTAAAATATCGAGACAGTTAACGGACACACTCACCAACTTATGCAATGCCTCAATATCGCTGATAAGACAGTCAGAACATAGGAAGCCGGTTTATTGGTGGATCCAGGAAATATAAGAACTCAGGAGAAAATTTCTTGCCGCCCGAAGAAAGCTTACAAGAAACAAAAAAAGACAAACACTAGGAAATGCTTCCTTAGCAGAAGACTACGGTGAGAAAAAGAAAGAGCTAAAGCTAGCTGTCAACAACGCTAAAAGAAGTTGCTGGAAAAACATTTACGAGGAAATTGAGAATAACCCCTGGGGGGAGGGTTACAAAATAGCTAACAGGAAACTAAAATGCAAAAAACACGCCCAGGCACTCACAATGTCGACGACACTGGAAGCAGCCAAGAAACTGTTCCCCGAACGAGACCCCGTCAACAGAACTGGACGAAGTACCTAGAGTGAGCACGAACGAAATAATCAAAGCAACCGAGAAGCTAAAAACAAAAAAAGCACCCGGCGTGGATGGTATACCAGCAAAAGTCTTTCAAATAGCGATGCGCATCAAACCAAAAATCTTCTGCCCAATCTTTACCTCAATTGTACAGAGAAGGGAGTTCCCAGAGGAATGGAAGGTCGCAAAACTCGTTCTAATCGAGAAACCCTCTTAAACAGAGAGTTTGACTTTAGACCAGGAACATCAACCGTGGAAGCCCTAAAAAAAGTGACAGAAATTCTAAGAAGTGGGGTGCGAAAAAAAGCCATAAGCACCGACGAGTCGGAGTACTGATATAACATTAGATATAAAAAATGCGTTTAACACTGCACCATGGTGGGAAACGGTAGCGGAACTGGAAAACAGAGGAGTTGCCCCATATCTGAAAAAAAAGCATAATGAGCTACTTTACCAACAGAAAAATCATTTTGGAAGCAGAGGGACAAACAAAGGAACGTTCCATGACGTGTGGTGTACCCCAGGGTTCAGTGCTAAAGACGTTGTGGAACATCCTCTATGACGGACTACTGAAGCTTGCTCAACCAAAAGATGTCACACTGGTGGGCTACGCAGACGACATCGCCATGGTAATCCTGGAAAGAGACATGCCGGAGATCCAGAAGAAGATCGATATAGAAATGCCAAATATCATGAAATGGCTGCAGGCCAACTATCTAGAACGGGCGCAAGAGAAAACCGACATCCTACTTGTGACCCTGAAAAAAAGACCATCCCAAGAAACGCTTGAAATTCTAGGCCAAGAAATAAGCACAAAAAAGGCTATAAAATACTTGGGGGTATGGATAGACATAAAGCTCGGCTTCTCGACCCATATCAAAAATACTGTCATCAGAGCAAGCCAAACAACAATGGCACTTGGCAGGCTAATGCCGAATGTAGGAGGTCCGCGGGTAGGTAAGCGTAAGTTACTCGCCTCGGTTACCAACTCGATCCTGCTCCATGCAGTCCCAGCATGGGCGGAAGCAATGAAACTGAAAAAGAATCAATCGGGGTATAGGAAAATCCAGAGACAGTCCGCTTTGCGAATGTGTAGTGTATATAGAACGGTCCCAACGGAGGCGCTCCTGATAGTGGCCGAACAACTACCCATAGATTTAATGATAGAGGAAAGAAAAGCAGTACAAAACGCAGAAAAACACGACAGAAGGCAAGTACGCAGCGATGTTAGAAAAAGAAATCAACGGGCATGGCAAAATAGATGGCAGGGAAACACGAGAGAGGATTGTAAGTGGACTAAGAGGCTTATACCACAACTTGAAGTCTGGATAAATAGAAAAAATGGCGATACAAACTACTACCTTACGCAAGCCCTCACAGGGCATGGCAGCTTTAGACACTTCACCAACTTTATCGGCAAAACAAACGACCATGAATGCGTTTACTGCGGAGAAACCAATACCGCAGAACATACAATATTCCACTGCCCAAAATGGAACAATGAGAGAGAACTATGCTACAAAACTATTAACACAAACCTCACACCAGATAACCTTATCCGGGAAATGACGAGCGATAGCCGCAAATGGGACGTGATTGAAAATATGATTTGCGACATAATGAGAAAGAAAAAGAAGGAAGAGAAAGACTTTGAATTAACGGAATAGGTAACACAAATTAATATAAAGGACACAACTGCCGGATAGAAGGCAATTTTTCCGCAACCTCCCTGAAGTAAAGCCGCAAGGCGGTTCCGGGGGGGGGGACATGCGAAGGGTAGGGGAAGGGTTTTAGTGGGTGAGAGCCCCACACTCCCTAGGTCGCCCGAACAACAATGACCTAGTTGTGCATAAGGCATTTCCAACCCCTACTATAAAAAAAGGGTCCCCTTTGGCCTATGCGATGCTCCGGAAATATTCTAACGTACCGTCAACAAAGTTTTGTAGACTTTGAATCAGGGCTTCAGTCTTTGAGACAAGTTTTCGACGCCTTGATATCAGCTAACTGGACACTGAGGCTTGCTAAATGTCAGTTCTTTATGAAAAACGTTGAGTACCTTGGGCGTGAAATATGTCGTGATGAAGTCCAACCAGGAATCAGGAACATGGAGGCCGTTAAAAATTATCCAGAGCTCACAGATGTGCATAAAATAAGGCAGTTCTTAGATTTAGCGGGGTATTTTAGAAAATATATCAAGGATTTCGCCGCCATAGCAAGACCGTTAACGTTCTTAACGAAAAAGTATGTAAGATTTTGTTGGGAATCAGATCAACGTACAGCATTTGAGAGAAACTCATATCCAGACCTCTTCTCGCAATTTACGATCCTAAGCTCAGTACAGAAATCCATACGGACGCCTCAAAGTGGGGTATTGGAGGAATTCTGTTTCAAGAACACGAAGGCAAACTGAAACCAGTTATGTACTATTCAAGACAGACCAGTAAGGATGAGCAAAGGTACCATTCCTACGAACTAGAGACCATTGCTGCGGTTGATACGTTGAAACATTTTAGAGTGTATTTATTAGAAATCGTATTAAAAATTGTCACTGATTCCAACGCTGTTCGTACAACTTTTTGTAAGAGAGATCTAGTTCCACGAATAGGAAGATGGTGGTTGGCAATCCAGGAGTATACCTTCGATATAGAGTATCGCCCTGATACCAAAATGACCCATGCAGACGCTCTGAGTCGAAATCCATTAGTAGAGAATTGTCAGCTATCTAACACAGTAAGTAACAAATTTTTCATGTGTTTTTATAGCATACAGAAACAGATTAATTTATATTTTCAAGTATAAATTTTCACCTCTTCTATTTAAAAACTGAAGCTATCGTCCTACTTATCGCAATTTCGTCACGACCCCAATTTAGCCGGATTTACGAATCTATAATAATTATTTTTCTTTAAAAACTTCGACGCAAAGTAATTAAATTTTCTTTTCATAACCCCTTCTCAAAGGGACATTTTAATTAGAAGCTCCGAAACCATGTCTGGAGGAAATTTTGTTAGGTACCTACCTAAATTTAAAAGTTTTTTTCTAAGAGAAGTAAAATTATGAAAAGTGTTTAATAGATCATCCAAAAATTAAACTTCTCTTGACACTGGTATTTTTACTTTATTATTTATATAACGAAAAGGGAAATTCGATTCTGTTCGCCTACCTTTTCCTTGTACCTAACAATTAGTGCTTCAAATGAAGATTAATCAAAACAAAAAGGCTAAACAACCTAAAATGTATAAGTAAGTGCCCGTTAAAGAACTGCTAAACGTAATTTAATAAGTTGTTTCCAAAGAGGGGTTGCTTGAAATTTTAGAGTTGAGCCCATTGTCAGCGCCCCAGCTACCAAATTAAACAAATTCCCCCTCAAAATTATATTTAACGCCGAAACTTTTCTCGGACGTGCAAATTTCGTTACAACTTTATCCTCTTTCACAATAAACAATTGCAAGAATTAGAAAACTTTGGCTCGCGGAATCGAATTATAAAGCAATTTGATTTTATCAGCGTTCTCGCTGGGTAAAAATAATGTTGTTTTTCTCGTTTTCTTGCCTTATTAAAAAGTTGTTTGGAAACAAGCAAAAACATAGTTTTAACTCGAACCGGGATATAGCCGGATTTATATAAAATGTATAATCCAGTTTCGTTTTTTTCCAAGTAAAGTTATCTTTGGAGATATTTTTAAGAAGTTTAATTGAAAAGCTGAGTTTATTTTTAAGTTTTTTAAATGAACCTAAGATGCAATAGACACTCTCTTTAGTTTTTGAAAATCTATAGGGTTGAAGCTTAGGAGAAGTTAATTAATTTTTCGATAAATTTGTGAATATATGATTTGGATCAGGAGGAGGCTAGGAGGAAATTATTCTTACTGGAAAGAGATGAGACTTGGTCACATGTTGCATAACGTATGTGGCTTTGATTAGCATTTATTCCTTACCTGCATAATAATGGGGTTCCCTTTCGTAAAAATGATGATGCCTCATATTTATATCTTCATCACCAGGTTGATGAAGTTGTGGTATAAGATTGAGCCACACGGCCATCTTGTGACCTCTATAATGGCTTTTCATTTTGGGTTTTTGAGCTGAAACAAAATGATTTCCATTTATTAACGAATAAATACCACGTCTTAACATGAATTTCTATAGAACTCAAAAGTTCTAAGCAACAAAAGAAAACTCATCAAACTTTCCTCGAAATATGTGTTTTTTGTCGTTAATTTCATGTTTTAGCATCTTGACAAAGTTTTTTTTGTCATCAAAATTAAGGACTTAGAGATCGACGCTGATTGTAATTTCAAGTCAAGTTTTAGAGTGATTAAGACGCTCGCATTTGCCAAATAATAGTTCGGATTCAAAGTTTTCACCTGGTTCTAACCCAATTACCAAAAAGGGGGAGCCGTTAATTTATCGTTTTTGTTCAAAAATTTCGAACTTCCAAACAAAAGTACTTCAACTTTAAACTTGTTTTAATATGAGGTTTTTGAAAAACTATTTCGCAGTAATAACCTGTTTGAAAGCAGGCTTTGTTCCACTTCCAACTTTATTCCGCCTCAGAATCCACTTTATTTTCCTTGCCGTCAATACAGCATAGAACAAGAGCAAAGCTGAATTTATTACAAGATTGGGTACTCTAAAATATTGCAGTCATTAAAATTTCAAGGAGAGATCTATATTAAATTACTCTTAGTTGTTTCGTTTTCATGTTTGACTTGCCATAAATTTTACTTGAAATATGCAGTTAAATTAAGTTTTGCAACAAGAAATATTTGTAGTTTACATTTTTGTTATTTTTTTTTCGGGAATTTTCATCAACCACTAGAGCAAGTCGGATTTAGAAGTGGCTTTGGAATAAATGAGCACCTACAAGTGATAACATCCTTGATGGAGGATGTTGTAGAATGCAACAAACCATTGATATTATTATTTGTGGACTTTAAGAGAGCTTTTGACTCAGTCCAGCGTGTTAAGGATTATTACGTAACAAACTGGCATGTATTTGATGAGGCAAGATGCTCGGATCACAGATACATCATATTTAAAATTTCAGGGGAAACAACTTCAGTAAATTATCGAAACCCTCGAAATACAGACTGGGACACATACAAAGCTGACCTGGAGTACAGTCTGCCGAACATCAGAAAGACAATAAGAGACACTGAATACTTGGAGATGGTTGTGGATCCATTCAATGATGCATTTATCTCAGCCTTCAATGAAAACTGCCCACTTACAATAGGGACATCCAGCAGGAAAGTGCCCTGGTGGAACGAGTGCTTTGCAAAGTTAAGGAACAAAACTAGAACAGAATGCAATAAAGCCATGAGAACCGGGTAGTGGGAAACATACAGAACCACGTTGAAGAAGTTCAAGAAAGAGCTGAGGATATCCCAGAGGAGGACTTCGAAAAAGTACTGTAATGATATAGATGTGTAGATTACGCCGGTCCATTTATGTTGAAGGATCGCAACGGTCGAGATGCTCAGCAGTTCAAGGCATATATTTGTTTGTTTATTCGTTTTTGTACGAAGGCCGTTCACCTCGAACTTGTAACTGAATTAAGTACAGAGGCATTTATTGCCACATTCAGATGATTTGCAGCCAGACGTGGTAAACCATCACATTTGTTTTCAGACAATGGGTCAAATTTTGTGGGAGCAAACAGAGAATTATCAAGTTTGTTTGAATTTTTATCAAGATCAGCTAAAGAGATTTTTGTGAGTCTGAGTGATTATCGTACGGAATGGCATTTCATTCCGCCACGTTCGCCAACGTTCGGTGGATTATGGGAATCCAATATTAAAGGAGTAAAGTATCATTTGAAGAAGGTTATTCAAGACACCGTTTTGACGCACGAAGAGTTTTCTACGGTTCTTGTTCAGACAATCCTCTGATCCGTCCGAATTTGAACCCCTAACCCCATCTCACTTTTTAATTGGGAGGCCAATCATGACCGTTCCTGATCCAAGTCTGGAAGAAGTAAAATTAAGCAGTTTGTCACGGTTTCAATTGCTTCAAAAGTTAAACCAAGATTTTTGGAAGCGCTGGTCCAAATGCTACTTGAACCAGCTACAAAAGGGCAAGTGGAGGCAGATGTCTACAAGCATCAAACTAGATGCTTTGGTTCTTTTCAAGGACGAAACCCTTCCTCTTTCTAAATGGTTACTCGGTCGAGTAACAGCTCTGCATCCTGGGTCCGACAATGTTGTTCGAGTTGTTACTGTGCGAAACAGCAAAGGTGAAGTCAAGCGAGCAATAACCAAGGTTTGCCCGTTACCAGATCCAGAAGATCCTCATAATTTGGTTGAACTTGAGAGTTCAACGCGGGGGAGTATGGAGGAAGACATAGCAACCTCGGATCCAGTTCCAGCTGCCGAAGCAGCGCCCTGAACGCGAAAACGAAAAAAAAAACGAAGAAGGAGGACTCCGCAACGACACCGCCAAGAAAAAGGGCGACGCAAAGTACTGCCATTTTATTTTAAATTGTTTTTAGTCCGAATTTCCTTCAATTATTGTTTTTGACCAGAAATAAATCAAGTAAAATCAACTTGAATATTATTGATACAGTCCACACTCCACCAGAACCATCATCGCAGAAGAGACACTGGCAGCCAGGATGTACAGGGAATGCCCACAGGGCAGGGTATTATCTACACTCCTGTAGAATCTAGTGGCGGACGGCCTGCTTAAGGTGCTCACTGACGGAGGACACCGTGCCCTTGGATATGCTGACAACATAGTCATCATCTCACGGGGCAAATTCAACTCTACAGTCAGGAAGTGAATGCAAGACGCTTTAGACCGAATATCAAGATGGGTGGATAAAGAAGAACTATCGTTGCATTTACCCTGAGGCATAAAATACAAGACCTGGGACCTCTTAGATTAAGGGGTGAAAATATACAGATTTCGAGTGAGGTCAAGTACTTGGGGGTAGCACTGGACTCAAAACTTACCTGGAATCAACATCTGGAAAACAGCACCAAAAAAGCGGTAAAATCACTCATGATAGCCAGACGCTTGCATGGAAAATTATGGAGCTTGAGACCGGACATGTTGTATTGAAGATATAACATGATGGTCAAACCTAACTTGATATACGCCTTCCTGGTGTGGTGGCGCTGCAGGGAAGTGCTTCACGCCAACTCAGCTAAGTGCAAAGATTGACTTGCTCAGGAATAGCGGGGTCAAAACGATCCACACCAACAGCAACCATGGAGACCCTTTTAGACCTCCCACGTGGCACGTTTACACATAGTGTTACGGGAGGAGGCAAGGATATGAGCGTACAGACTGCAGCCGAAAACCCCCTCCAACAAAACGACAGGACATATGGCAATCTTTGAACTCGTGGGGGAAGAGATTTTCAACATGAGGGCCGACTACATGCCAAGATGATACTGCCTGAACAGATCATTCGAGGTGAGCTTCCCAAGCAGAACTGAATTGGAAGATGGCATACCGGAGACCAAAAAACAAGTCCATACCTGGTACATAGACGGATCGAAGACCGCGTCTGGTACCGAAGCAGGGGTATACTCCGCCAAATATAGCGATCACTATTCACTGGAAAGACAATGCCTCTGTTTTTCAAGCAGAGGTATACGCTATACTCCAATGCGCAGCGGAGAACAACAGGAAAACCACAGCCAACAGGCAAATCTTATAATGTCTGATAGTTGAGCGGCACTGAAGACCCTTTCGAGCCAGACAGTGTGGGAATGCCAGGACGAACTCAGGGCCCTAGCTGACCAGAATAAGGTAAAACTTATCTGGGTGTCAGGACACAGAGGAATCAGAGGCAATGAAAAAGCTGATGAACTCACAAAGAGAGGGTAAGAAACAAAGCTTATCGGGCCAGAACCGGCTCTAGGGATACCAAAAAGTATGACCAGAAGCCACATCAAGGACTGGATTCGTAAAGAACATCGACGATACTGGACATCGACCAACCATTCAGCAAAAGGGCCGCAGAACTGCTACAAATGAGTAGGAGCCGACTGAGAACCATAACGGGACTCTTGACTGGCCACACACCAGTAAAGGTCCACCTGAACAGGATGAATCTGTACGACGGAGACCTTAACTGTAGACTCTGCAATAAGGAACCCGAGACAGTCAGACATACCCTGGTGAACTGCGAGGCACTGGATAATAAAATACCACCCAGCAAAAGACCTGTACAACCTCGTACAAGGCACAAAAATACTGAAGTGGTTGGAATAAACCACACAGGCTTAGTACAATAAGCCTTCTTAGGCTTCAGTGCTGCATGGAGACAATATGTCGGACAGGCCTGGAACAAGGGGAAAAAAGAACATTTGCAGACGATATAGTCCTTATTGCAAACATGGTAGATTTTGCATGTCAGCTTCTCCAGACCTTGAAAGTTCTTGTGCACGAGTTGGCCTTCTTCTCCAAAACACACTTCATGGCCAATCTTGTACTGGCTAAAAACATTTTAACGTATGGTAAGCAAATAGAACAAGTTGGTTCCTATAAATATTAAGGCCACGAGATTAAATTACTAAGAGACAACCAGACCACAGAATTGAACAAGAGAATAAGATTGATATAGGCAGCCTACGGAAAACTTAGAGATGTCTTTGGATCAGATATTCCCATGTGTTTGAAGAGAAAGGTTTTTGATCAGTATGTGCTTCCATTTCTAATATAAGTAGCAGAAACATTGACTGAAAAGTCGAAAATTGAATCCAAGTGGCTCATAGGGAACTGCAGAGATCGATGTTGAATATATCCCTCAAAGACAAAGTTCCAAATTATATCATTAGGGAAATAAATGGGGTTACCAATGCAGTTGAGAGAATTTGCATCCAGCCTATCTGGATGCAAAGTGCTCAAGACCGGAGGCAGGAATGATTTACGGGAGGCCCATATCCAGTAGTGAACTCAAAACAGCTGTTGATGATGATGATAATGATTGATTGTAATCTTTTTAAGTTGTTTAACATGACCCATAATTTTCGATTAAGGAATGTTTCTCCATCTCTTTTATAACATCTCCTTTATTCATATTGGTATGCCTGAACTTTCCTGTGATGTTTTACTCTCAATGTACCAAATA